CCCACTATATAGATATCACACACACACACACACACACACACACACACACACACACACACACACACACACACACACACACACATCTTATTTCCTCATTGGAAACAACACTTGTGTATATTCGTTCTCACACTGTCTCGTGTCCACTCTAGTGAGGCTGCTGTATGTTCATTGGATGCAACATCATTTAAAAACCTTGTAGATGCTTGTGTCCAAAAATTCTTTTTAACTTCTGTTTAATTCTCTCTCCTTTTTTTTTTTCTTTAGCCCAAGTTCCAGACAGCGATGAGCAGTTTTTGCAGGACTTGCAATCAGAAAACCGTAAGTCATTTTGCTTCATGTACTACAATGCTATGACAGGTTTAGATGATCCAGCTAGAAGCTTGCAGCACAGCATTCTCAGGAATAACCATTTCAAGGCCAGAAGAATGTGCTTGTTGCAGCAGGGAATGTTATGTTTGCTAGTGACATTCTTTGTTCCAGTTTTTCATATCAATGTTTGTTTCTTCTAGTGGGGAGAAGAAATGCATATGCTGTATGCATCAACCTTATTAAGCAGAACCCAGCAGGTGTTGGTTTCATGTATTTTAAATGACTTCATTGTGCAAGCCCATCTGCCTTCATAGGGCTTTAACTGCATCTGTCACCTGAACTTCTCAAAGTGAGAATGAATCGGCTTTTTCATGGGCTGAAGTTCAGTTTTTTCTATGGCACGTTCCCCCAACATACAACATACAACAAACGGCTCCACACCACACTCTCGTTGTTGACATCACAGAGTGTGGTGTGGAGCTGTTTGTTGTCCTGCAGGCGGCGTCACGATCTGATCCGTTGGGTTAGTTGTGTATTGTCGAGCTGGAGGTGTGGCGATCTGGTCCAGACAGTGAATGATGGATCGTAATGTTCAATCCTGGAGTGGCTAAATGAATATTGAAATCCTGCAGGTGGATGCTGCTTAGTGCTTTGTATTCCCTAGGGAAAAAGTCCTGGATGGGTGCGTTGTTCTGAGAATGGTTCTGTGAGGTGTATGGTGGCGTCCAGGTGTTCTGACGCAGGGGAAGATATGGCGAGCTGGTGTGGCACCTGGTAGGAGGTTTACAAGTCCCAATGGGTGAGAAGATGGGCCAGCTGGTAAGTGGCAAGTAATCCCTAGACTAGGAAGGGGTAATTGTATCCCCGCAGAGATGCCGGCTGGTGTGGGATCAGATCGTGACGCCTCCTGTAGGACAACAACCAGCTCCACACCACACTCTTGTCGTTGACCTCACAACTCAACTATTCTAACGGTGAGTTATAGAAGTCACACTTCTTTTTGTTCATCCCAGAAGCCTCACCATCTTATTTTCATTATATCTTCAACTTGGTTCACTACTCCACTGCTCAAAAAGGAAGAATACGGCCCTGTTGCCCAACACCACATAGCACCACGATTTCTTTTTTGTGCCCCCATTGAAGCGAGTGCTCATCCACCCACAAGTGAGTGCGTTACCTCACACCCTCACTATGTCGCACCTGAGTAATTGCGCTAGGTTGTGGCGCTTCGTTCTCTTTTTATGTCCCAGGAGGCAGCAGGAGCACAATAACTGGAGGGCTGACCTGACCCCCCAAACTAGGGATGTTCAGATACTTGGCATTTTCACGAACTGCCAGGGTTGCAGCTGGGACCTAGCTCGGGCGCTCCACCACTTTCCTGAAATCATTAGTCTGTATTGTTTTAGAATATGACCCTAAACAATAGTCAGTACTTGGACTTGAAAAAATGGTATTGGTGTATCCCTTTTTTATATAAATTATAAAAAAAAAACATATATTAAAACGGATGCACAAATCTCAGGATCTCTGTATGCTCCTTAAAAATAACAGCTGCCTCCTAATATGTAGAATTTTTCTCTAGTCTAGTCTTGGAGCTGGAAAAGTATCTGTACATGTACTTGTACCGAGTACGGTACTTGGTATCTGAACACCCCTACCGTAAACCATATGTTTTCTGAAAGCACAAGCCCAGTAGAATAAAAAGATGGTGCTGCTAATTTTGTAGGTCCTGCAATAATTGCGCAAATTTTTGCCAAATCAACATTAAACCGATAAAAATACACAATTGATAAAGCACACTAAACTGTATCGGTGCACCAAAAAAAAATACTTTTTCAACTAAATCTAAAAGAGAAAAATTTATTGAGTTAATAAATAACAAATATTTGCAAATTTTAAATTGTGCCTGTTTGAGAAACGGTAAAAAAAAATTAACAACGAACTGTAAATAAGCAACTGATGTTAAAAAATCTTTTGTGCACTGTGTTGGTGTGTGTTGTAATAAAATGATACATCCATACATTTAATTGCAACATGGCTCATCACAATGCACGGCAATATGTCACAACGGGGCTTTGGTGAAATATCAGTGGTCTAAACAAGCCCCTGAAATTTCCTTTTTGAAATGGAAAAAGAAATTTGAGGACACAGAGCTTCGGTTCTGAATAAATGGAAAGCACTCCATACAGAGGCTTCCCATTCATTCATAAACGAGATGGTAAATAGTTTATGATCATTCAGTTATGAATGGGTAGAAGCCTCTGTACAGAGTGCTTCTCTCCATTCAGAAACTCATGAATGAACAGGAAGTGATGTAAAGCACTTCCTCTTTCATAACTGGGGACACATTGTACTTGGTGTCCCCAGTTGTTTACAAACACTGGAGTGATCAGCGATCTGCCCCCCCACCAGCCATTTCTCCTTGGATCCATGCTCCCTCAGCCCATACAGGCGGGGGATAGCAGCAGGGATCTGAGGAGAAATAGATCCCGGCCCAGTTTTCATATTTTAGGTTAAGAACATTTTGTACAAGTACAGAAAATCCTTGTTGATCTTGCCAATAATATAGTGTCCGTCACTACCTGTGAGCTTGACAGATTGCAAAAAAATCTTCTCTTTCATGTGCAAACTACCCATCAGCCCTAATGTAATGGAGATAAACAAAGACAGACGTGTGTGTGTTTTTTTTTTTTTTAAACTTCTAAAATGTTAAAATATTCTGTGCATTTTGGAATGCATCCAGATTTCATTAAAACAATTAACTGAGTGAGCTAGAACTAGTTCCTGGGGAAGCCTATTTCACATATTCACATCTCATACTGTGAAGAAGCCTTTCTGTATGCCACAATTAAACCTTTTTTCTTCAAAACGCAGAGTGCCCCCTTTTCCTTTTGCAGTGAATGACTATGCACCAAGTTCACCATATGGGCAGTTTATCTATTTTTACATGGTAACCTACAGGACCTGGTATTCCCAGGCAGTTTTGCATCCAAGTACTTACCAGGCCGACCCTGCTTGGCCTCCCAGATCAAACAAGATCAGCACTTTCAGGGTGATGCAGCCAGTGAAAAAGTCTCTAAAAAAAACAACTTATTCCGCCACCACATGCAAGGACTGGTAAGCTGCAATATAGAAAATTGTTTTGAGGTTTAGAAACACTTTACATACAATTCCATGTGGCAATCACTTAATTTGAAAGGAAGACCATTTCTCTTTCTTCCAAAAATTCTCTGTATTTGAAGGAAAGGTTTGCAGCACTTCTTCCACCAGTGCAGCAAATGTTTCCCCTCGGCTTTAGCCAGGCGGTAATGAAATGCAATCTTCCATTAGAGGTCATTAGTGCTCTACTCTTGCACTCTTCCGAGTTCCTGCTTATCACGTGTTAGACACTGCATTGACTGGATACTGGACACCAGTTACTTTATATACCTCAGCAATCATGCTGCCAAGTGCACTGATTTGATAAAGGAAAACGTTTGTTTTAATTGTCCCCTTTTTAAAGTCATGTGTGGAGAAACTGTCTGCACATTGATTACTGATAGAAAACCCAGCAGTTCGGGGAGGAAGAAGTTTGGCATCTTTTTTGTTTAATCAAAGATTTTGTTGTTTGTGAATTGGTTGATATATGAAGATGTGGGGCAGGCAGCTCTATAAATAAGCTGGGTTGTTAGACAGAACTGCACACTCCTTTATCATACAGTCTGTCTGCCTGGCCTTTCCCTCTGTTATGGGAGCAACACGCAAAGCCTTTGAAAGGATTGCACCCACAACAGATTGTGCGGAGCTGTTTCGGAAGTGTCTGGTCTGGCCTGTGGGAGTGTCACGTTTAGACTTGTTCCTGAACAATGTATAGTACAGGGCTTTGTGTGTCCTTAGTTTAACCCCTGGTGGCCCGCTTGTACTTTCAGTTTGTCTTTTTTTCCGCTCTCGAGGCCTGCCTCCCCTCACATTTCCTGTTTGCTCTGTAAACGAAGGATTCAGGGGTAATTGAAGTGCTGGCACAGGATAGGTTCCAGCATATGCCGTTACACTGCTAGTCTACCTTTCCTGAATGAAAACATGTCAGTTTTTGCTGTTAAAGAGGCCAATAAATCAAGCTCAAAATGACTCCATAATAGAGAAGTGTGAAAAGAGGAATAGAGAGTGGTCACCCACAATAACCATGCTGCTCCTCTTATAGAAGGTTGTTGTGGGCAGACTACTGATTTGTTTGGTGGCAGTCATGCGGCATCTTATTTAAATTACCCTAAAATCTATTAGCAAATCTTCAAAATGTGTTTCAGCACTTGGGCAGCGTGTGTGCTGTGATTTTATGTTCTTGCATGTGTTTTTATGGGGTAGTTTTACCTGCTTTTTCAGCCTGGAGAGAGGCTACAGGCAATGGGGAATTAACAAAAACTGGTGCACACCAAAACATGTGCCAGTTTCTAGATACCGCCTCAATGGTGCTTCCAGTGATTAATAAAAGCGGCATGTGCCAATTTGTCGCATGGTGTTGCATCAGATTGGAGTGCACTTACTCCAGTGTGCATCAGCATTTTGGCACAAATCTGAGGTAATCTTCCACTGGGATCCACAAATCTGAGGTAATCTTCCACTGATCCTAAGTTTTCTCCTTTTCCTCTTCCTGCATTGCTGCACCTCACTGGCCGTCCATAAACATCTACTTCTCCTCTCATTGCTGCCCTTTGCTGGCCATCTATGCACATCCCTTTCCTTCCTGCATTGCTGCACCCTGCTGGACGTCCATACACGTCCCCTTCTCAGCTACTTGCATTGCTGCTCCTCACTTGCTGTCCATACACATCCCCCTTTCCTTCTTGCATTGCTGTGACTCACTGGCTGTCTGTACACATTCCCCTCTCCTCACTGCATTGCAGCACCTTGCTGGCCGCCCATAAACATCCCCCTCTCCTCTCCTTGCTGCACCTTGCTGGCCATCCATACGCATCCTCCTCTTCTCAAGCTGCAGTGTTGTTGCCCCTCCTTTCTACAGATTTACCGTATATACTCGAGTATAAGCCGAGATTTTCAGCCCATTTTTTTGGGTGAAAAGTGCCCCCCTCGGCTTATACTCGAGTCAGCGCCATGTGCCATCTTACTTACCTCGCCGAGCGTCGCGTCACTGCTGCTCCGATGTGCGGCGCTCCGAGCGGGGTCATCTGGCAGTCTCCGGGTCCTAATTTAGGTGGCCGGAGACTGCCAGATGATCTTTTAAATAAATATTAATGTAATTTTATTGGTATCTATCTACCAGTAGCTGCCTCATTTCCCACCCTCGGCTTATATTCGGGTCAATACTTTTTCCCAGTTTTTTTTGGTAAAATTAGGTACCTCGGCTTATATTCGGGACGGCTTATACTCGAGTATATACGGTATACCACTCTGGTATTGGTATATACTTTTAGAAATGTTTTTGGATTAGAACATTGGCGCAAATGTTTAATTATTTTAGTCTACACAATCGGAAATCTATAGAAACTGTCGCATAGCACTTTTAATGCAATTTGGCATGACTGGTGCAACACCACATGTATCTTCTCTTTTAACGTTTTTAATATGGTGCATGGAAAATGCGTCAATATTTAAACCACAAAACTGGCATATTTTCCTTTTTAATTCTCCCCCAGTATCTCAGTAATATTACTGCATCCGTGTCTAGAAACAATGTTTTTCTAAGAACAACAACCCTACATTATGGTGTGTCTGTAATTGGCATCATAGGTAGACCTCAACTATGAGAGACAAAATGAGAAAACAAATCCAGACAAATCACAGTGGCTGATTTAGAACGAATTTATTAGCAAATTATGGTGGAAAATAATTGAATCATTGGGAAACCTTAATGGAAAGTGGTTGGAATGTGTCGGCAGTCAGAACTGTAATGTTTACTCGCACGGAGTCGCTCATTGACAAAAGAGCTTTTGCTGTTTAGAGCAGCTCTGATCTATACACAATCTGCAGAAAAGGAAATGATGTCCCAAGTGAGACGCTTGCATTGGTGTTACACCATCCCCTGACATTTGTCACGTGACTGCACTGGGACATGGCAAACAAGATGGATGTAGTTGATGGCAGAACAGTGACAGCAGAACAGATTAAATACGTCATTGCCTATTGTCTAAGTGCTTCTTTGGGCCCTGCTAGTGTCCCACGAGTCTCGTGAGGACAATGTGATGCAAACACCTTACTTTTACCTTCTTAAGAGTAGATTTTAATCTTGGTGATTACATTTACCTTTGTATATTTTATTTACTTCCTTCTAATAGATTTTAGTCTAATGTGCAATTAGTCCTTTCAGATTATATTCAAATCCTTTATTGCTGCAACCATGTAAAGCCAAATGATCCGATGGGGAACTCATCTGCTGATCAGTCCAAGCTGTAAACCCAGAAATACAAACTAGAATTATTTTATTTTGTAGTTTTATTTTAGTTGATTAACAGATTATTACATATGATGCAATAAAGCATATTCATTATTATTATTTTGTATTTTTTTTCCTCCAATTAGAATGTGATCTAATTTTTTTTTTTTTGTGGGTTGCTCCCACCAATTTCGTGCAGGTTCTTGAGTGGCACCTCACTGCAATGCATCACCCTGCCCTTAATGCATTGTGTTCATTTTTTTTTTAAGTTTAGATATACTTTAAGGTTAAACAGGTAAATCTTCTGACAAGCACAAAGCATGAAATCTTACTGCTTTCTTTTTTTAATCCATGCTAACCGTCTAGTAGTAATATATACTTATTTTTTTTATTTACAAAATAAAATCTTTTGGTATCTGCGGTAAAAATATATTTATGTTGCATTACCTGGAAGCACCTTGATATTTGCTCCAGGCCTATGCTTTCAGGTTTGGGTGGGTCCATTAAAAGGCTGTCCAGAATCCTTAGAAGTGTTTATTTTTATTGGTAATTGCCCAGCCTGAAGGAGCAGCTTACAAACACCTGGATTCAAACCTTGAACTCTGGTTATACATTAAATACTTCACACAAAACAAACTACAGTTGGTTGGATGGTCGCATATGCTAACCCGTCCTTCTTTTTTTTTTTTTTTTTTGTACTAGATAGAATATGAAATACGGGTGCGTTTAATTATATCAGGCCATTAGGCAAACTAGAGTTCTAGTATAATCTTAGTGTAACTTGCTACCTGGTCAGTAGCTTTAGCTATATGGACATTACATAGTGGTGCATATGGATTAAACTGCCATGGTCCTTATTGCCAACCTGCCCCTGGCACTATACTGTATGCCCCTGCACCTGGTACTATATACCCCCTTAGTGCTTTTTCACCTGACAAAAGTACACTGGTATCTGTAGTTCTTCAGAAGTAAGCAAACGGTACCTTATCTATTATTGCTCCTTTTATGGTTCTTTCAAGCGGATTTCAGTGACTGATGTGTTTTTTTTATACATTTAATTTCCTTTTTTCTGTTTTAGTTGCTTTTCACAGTCCACCAGTGAAAATAAAGAAAGAACAGCCCAGTTCTTGTTCGGAGCCCAGTCTTTCGTGTAGCCAGAAACAACAGTTTGAATACCGTAATGGGGAGCCGTGCCTTTATGCCACGTGAGTTGGTTATGTTTTTTTAATGTTGAAGTATAGCATTGCCTCCTTGAAACAAAAAGTATGCACATGCCGTATCTTTCATCACTTAGGTAAAAGGAAAAGGGATTTCTCATTTCAGGATAGTTGGTGGCATTAATTAGATACTTATTTAATGCTCTAAAATGTAACGCTACATCCAGCTCTGCAGCTTTAAATGATAAAGTCACATATTCCAAACGCCGTGCTTTACAATATTTTAGTGGAGGGTTGGTTCCTTCTAGCCCCATCATTGTAGTTTTCTCATGACTTTGTTTGTATAAGACACGGTTTCCATATCTTATGTGTAGCAACACTGACAGTTGGAATAAATGTAATTTCAGGCTGCATCCATTTTAGGAACCATTCCGAATACCCTCCTGTATTTGCACATCTGCACCCACTATTCTTGATTTAGGAATACACCCTATGCTTTTTGGAATTATGGCAGAAGTGATGTCACTTAATTCTTGGCTTTTTGGCCTTTAACGATAACTTTACTATGTTTTTAATTTATTGCCCTATGGATTGGTAGTGGCTATAGTGTTATTTAATGTGCAGTTTCCTCTTTACTTTGCTTACAGTGTCTATGACCAAACATCCAGACAAGCTGGTATCAAATCTCAGAACCAAGGTGCTCAAGTGTCCCCACTCCATCACTTTTCCAGACAGGACCGGGGATTTGTCACTCCACAGAGCTCATCACAGTCTGTTCAGTCTGGAGGATACCACGTGGAACATAGGTAAGGGTCATTATTAAATTGCTTTGTTGATTTTTAGCTCATTTCTCTTGTGGGAACCATATTTTGTATTTTACATCAAAATAACAAAGGGAAATCTATCTACAGCATAAAAATATAAGGGCTACAGGTATATTTTCTGACCCAGAAAGTTACTGTGACAGCATGAGCTACTAGGTTGATTTGTAAAGTACCCCATTTATTGCCATGTCATAGCTCTCATGGTAATCCCATGGTCAGGAACAATGCTGAGGGTAGGGGAGACCATAGCTGCCACTTGAAAATGGTGTCGGAGAACTAGGAAAAATGTGCAGGTGAGCATTCTCACAAGGAACGTTCATTAACATCTTAGGACACAGGCATTGTGTTTAAGTACGTTAATAGACAGATTGCAGGCACTATGTGGTGAGGTTTGTTTTGGCATATTTTACAATAATGTATGCCGATGGCACTGAACTAATTTTGCCCTTGTACATCATTTTTTTTTTTAACCATATTTTGTCTTCTTAGCTCTAGGTACCCACAGCAAATGCCAGAGATGTGCCACTCCTTTCCATCAGCACAGAACATGAGCAGGGAGTCTCCTGCCAACTACCAGCGGCAGATGTCCGAGCCATGTCTTCCATACCCACAGCAGGGCTTCAAGCAAGAGTATCATGACCCTATGTATGACCAGGCAAACCATGGCGGTCCAAGCAGAGCCCAGAGATATCCTTCCAGTGTTGTAATCAAACAGGAACAGACAGACTATTCATATGATTCAGGTAAAAGACCTGCTACCTTGAGCACATCCCTATGTTTGTTTAAAAGAGATGTCAAAATGAAGGTCTTTAATGCCTAACAAAACTTTAGTAATCTTTACCCCATCCAGATGATTTCTACAGAATAATGTGCATTATTTCTTTATCTGCAGCCATTTTCACAAAAAAAATAATATACTGTGTGTGTATGTGTGTGTGTGTGTGTATATATATATATATATACTCATCAGCCTGCTATCTCAAGTTCATGGCCAACTTTAGGATGGGCCTTGCTTTCTTTTTTCCCCCAGTTCATTGCCTGATACTCAAGACTGCCCAGTTGGGCGATCAGAATCACTTTCTGTAATTTTTGGGAAATTTTGCATACAAATTGGCCAGTTTCCTCTTTTTGTAGAGAACATGGGAGTAATTTGTTAACCATGTGCGTGCCACTGCAGTTTACCACGCAAATCTCATAAGAAACCGTGGCATGTCCTGCCACCATAGTTCACAAGCAGATGTTTTTCTACCTATTATTCTTGGAAGGCTATGGCTAGCCTTAGTCTGAAAAAGATACTGGTTTAGGAATGGTTTAAACCGAACAATAGATTTTAGTCGCAATATCTTAAAAATAGATTTGCTGTTTTAGGATTGGCTATAAATGTCTTGATCAGATGCCCAATTTGCACAGACAAGAATCTGAGCATTTGGGGTTAACGTGGGTGTAAAAGCAACTAAACCTTCATAGCTTGGGATTATTGTAGTTAAATCATTTGTCGGGTTCGTTACTGCTTGCATAGGATTTTCAGCTTGTTGCAAAATTTCTGTGTAGTCTGGTGATGCTCCCCTCTTCTCTTTGGTCATCGCAAATGCACCTCTATCCGTATGGCCAGGTGCACAGGAAACAGTGGCAGGTCCCAAAAGGCAGATATCTAACTGTCGTTCTATGAGAAATCTGCCTATCATTACAAAAGTAAATCACTCCCTAAGGAAGTAATGATCCCTTAATAAATATTACCTCTGTAGACATGCAACAGAGCCAGTTACCTGAGAGCGTTTTACTGGTGAATAATTAAAAGTACAATATTTATCTGCTAAACTAAATGTTAATGTATTCCATGTTACCACATTTTGTAAAGAAGTTTTTATAACCCTTTGGGGTTTTGGTGGCAATTGTTTGTTACTTATTTATAATAGTTTATATTTATAATAGGTTATGCATAAAATCTGTCATTTATGTAGATTTGTTCTACAGCTAGCCCCATATAGCTTCATTACAGATGGGACCTTTATATCCCTGTCTGATATTAGTCTCTACCCTCACATTTTATAGCCAAGGCGAGAAGCAGTATTTGGTGCTTTAAGTACTCGCCTGCCCTTGTCTGTCTTGTTTCCGAACCGCTGTCTGTTTGCATTGCTTGTGAGTTAATGTCTGTTCCACGCAACTCAGTGCCGCCACATTAAATGTAATGTAAATTAAATGGCTTGTTTTAAGGTACAACAATGCAGTAACTAAAGACTATTTAACATTCTTGAAAAAAAACAAAAACTTTCAGGAATGGTTGGCAGTGGAATTACACTGCTAGACCGATCAGAAACCTGATTTGTATTAATGATGGAGTTTCAACTCTTGCCATCTTCTTTTAGTCCCTGGAATGCTTATTTAGCATTTAGATAAATTAAAATCTGTCTTGGATCTATCACTGCTTCTTGTGGAGTTTCATCTTCCAGCTTGTGGCAGACCATTCTGGGATGAGGCTGCACTCTTCGTGTTCTGTGACCTTGCAATTTCAAGCTACCAAATTTCTCTGATAGGATTGCATTATGACCTTGATTCATGGCTCCCTCCCACCTGCCTGCCAGTCAGACACACATACACTCTGAATGGAGTCAAAAGAATTTCACTCACAAAATGGAGGACGAGCGAAAGACAAGAAGTCCCCATAGGGCTACTCTGGTGCCGGTTTACACAGCTGGGCTGCCTTTTCATAGGCGGCTGACATCATAGCAGAAATATGGGCTGTCTTGTGGTAACACTATCTGTTACAGTATTTCTGCCCAAGGCTATTAAGGCTTTGAGAGAAAAAAAAAAACTGTGCTAATGACGTTGCAATACAGTATGGATAGTACAAAACTTCTAGTATTAACATTTGAGCTGTAATCTTTTGCAGGTTTTTGTTTAGATTGTGAAAGATCAGCTTTTTTTTTTTTAACACTCTTGCTGCCAGAGCCTATTATGATGATGATGATTAACATTACCGTTATTACCATTACTATTATCATTAATATGTATTATTACTACTATTTATATATATATTTTTTTTTTTTGTGTGCACACATGTAAAAATACACAATTTTAGGCCTGAACACTTTAACCACTTGCTGACCGCGGTGTTTGCATCCACTTCCTGTCCAGGCCATTTTTCAGTATTCAGAGCTGCGGTACTTTGACTGGCGCTTATTCTGTCATGCAACGCTGTACTGAAATTAATTTTATACTATTTTTTGGGGGACAGATAGAGCTTTCTTTTGGTGGTATTTAATCACCACTGGGGTTTTTTATTTTTTACTATATAACGAAAAAGTACAGAATAAAAAAAAAAAAATGTTTTCCCTTTTATTATGTTAGGAAACATTTATTATTACCCAATTTGGATAAAAGACGGGTCACGTCGGGTAAATAGACACCACACGTGTGAAGTCTTAAAATTGTGCACGCCCGCGAAATCGCAAAATTGGCTATAGCCGACACTTTTTAAAAGATTTTACCGATCATCATTTTAGTGTTATCAGTGATTGATGGCCCTAGAATTATTGCTCTCACTGTGATGTTTGCGGCAATAAGTAACATGTCCGGTGTAATTGGCACAATTGTCGTTTTTTTGTGTGTAGGCGCACCTGACGCATTTTTGCGCATCTATGTGGGGGACTTTAAAAAAAATTTGTGGGGTTTTTTTTGTGTGTGTGTGTAAATTTCTTTTTTAATTTGAGCACATTTTTTTTTTACATGTAACTTTATTATCTCATAGGGGGATAAGAATCCCCCTATGTGATGTCAAATTACAGTGACAGGTCCCCTTTATGGAGACATCAGGTGTCTCTAAGACCCCTAATGTCACCTAGGGACCCCCAGAGAAGTTGATGAAGCACAGATCTGCGTCATCAGCTTCTCTCCGGTTTCTGTACCGGAGAGTGACCTCTCCGGTAGTAAACATCACTTCCTGCATTCAGAGACCGGGGAGGAGAGCGGAGGGAGATCGTGTACTGAACTCCCTCCGTTCTCTGTGCACTGATCTCCCTCCGTTCTCTGTGCATGGAGCCACACTGCCGGTCCCGGATCGGATGCCTGGGATCGCGGGGACGGCGACAACAAGAAGAAGTTGGGGGGGGGGGGGGGGGTTGTT